ATTTATTTCTCCTAATGCTAAATATACCACTCAGTCCTAGTTTCATAGAAACCCTCAGATCCAGAGCGTGGTGTGACAGTGAATGAAGGTGTGGAGGCAGAGAAAGTTAGGGCGAAGGTGTAATTAAAGCTGATTATGGCAAGGCAGAGAGGAGGGTGGCACAGCACATTTGTCTTCCCCATCTAATGAGTGGAGGCCGGGAGAGCTGAATTAGCTTCCTCGCTGTCGTCTCTCCCCCGCCATGCCACTTTGTCACAAGGACACTCCTCCTGGAAGATGAGACAGGGTCAAGTGCATGTGTATCTCCTGGCATTATTCTTACAGGCCGCCGGGGCTCCTGTTCCACCGGGCACTGGGAATTGAGGCACTTTAGCAAGCTCTGAGCCACACCACTCAGCCTCTGCATCATTAAACCAGGCTAAAAATACACAGCCCACCCATGGTCCTCTGTTCGCACAGGACCGGGTATATGGCCACGCTGAAACAATCACCACTGACTCTTGTTCATGTGAGGTGTGGCACCACCATTTTTCACTTCCTATTTATATTTGATCAGTGTTTAAGGCTGTGGCAGTACAGTAACAGCATGCCGAAGGAGCTAGTGTGAAGTGCCCTTATCCGTCACCTACTAATTATATGATCATTATAGATACTACTACTACTACTACCATACAAATAAACACAATGTGCTCACACCGTTTTAATGCTCTTCCCATGGGCATTACTGGACCTAGAGATCAACATGTGTTGGTGTAATGCTGGAGTTTGCTACAAACAGTGCTGATGACAAAGCCCATCATGTATTGTGGAACTACATATTCAGGCTTGAAAGTATCACTTTTATTTTAAATTAATATCAATTATTATTATTATTAATATTTATTGTTTTGTCTATAACATATCAGGGGACATCACATCTCAATGTCCAGGAGCCTATAGGGTGAAAACCTGATTAATCAAATATCAAAACTGTTGTCAAAACTAATTGATTTATGTAATAAAAGTTTAGGTATAGCTCATAGACTGGCACTCTCCAGTCAGTACTTAGTTACGGTATTTATGGACTGATTTTCATTTAGCTCCACAGCAAGGTGTGAATATATTCCTGGCAAATGATGCATTCTGGGGATTTTGAATAACTACACTCTTACATAATCGTGTTTCCCTCTCAAGGGCAGTACAATATCAATACGATAAATCATGCAGCAGTAATGAATCAGCTGCAGAACCCTTACTTTATGGTTACTGACCAACTCAGATGTGAAGCATTCTCAAATCAATCACTGTATCTCGCAAACAGCACGTTACTTTGATTTACTCTATTGTTGTAAAATTCGGCACTGACAGAGCCTGACTGGTGTCACCCCACAGGTGCAGGTAATTGTCTGATTGCCAGGGACTGAACGACTGGAGCCTCGGTGCAGTGCGGACAACCGGCTCTCCAAGGTAAATCTTTTCTTCAAATGTCAAATGGATGTGCTGAAAATATTACGCTTATTTGGTGTTTTATTATTCATTGGTCCAATCCTCTGAGGTCAGACTTCTCTGTCAGTGTTTGTTTAATGGCAATGTGTGTCCTTGAACCTTATATTTACTTTGATGAGCCAGTGTTAATATGACACCTGAGTTGGCGCATATAACTTAAAAAGGGGGGAGGGGGGTCGTATAACTTAATACATGACTTAAATAACATTATAATGACCTGCAGCCGTGAGGAAATATGTTTGTAAAAAAAAAAAAAAAAGGCAAAGTTTTGGCTAAATTGTTGCTTTTTGCGATTAAAAACTGGTTAGTTTCAGTAGTTATGCTAATAAATGTATAATTTGTCACAGGTTTTCTGACACAGCTGACGTTCATTCAATAATGACCAACCACGATTATTTATCGTTATAATTAAATACTTACTTCACACTTGTACACCTACTTGTGTTCACAGAGGGTTTTTTCCCCCACATATGTATCGCAAAGAGAAAAGGGAGGTGAAAATTGTTCCGAAGCTGAGTGAACTGGCTTTTATCTGGCTTGAGATTCAGATCGTTTCGTGGCTTCGCCGTCTCTTTGTTGTAACTCGGAGCCTCCTAAATGTCAGGAGACAGCACTATTTGCGCCGAGGAGGAAGCGTGCAGCCTGTAAAGCGGCACTGCGGCATCGCCGTATCACTGCGCCCCGGTCCCCCTTCTCCGGGATCCTGAAGCTCGGATCTGGGGAGAGGAGGAGGAGATACCCTATGGTTTTCCGTTGCGGGATTTATTTTGTCAGCTCCAAACCTTCTTGTGCTTTATCTTTTTATTAGTGACCGAAGGCCTGCAACTTGTCCGGACGGTCCCTCCCCACTCGCAAGGGTTTGCATTTCTTGGTTTTGCATGACGTGTCTTGGAGCAAGAAAAAAAAAAAAAAAAAAAAAAAAAAAAAGAAGAAGGAGAAAAAAGAGAGGCTTGCTTTTGTTGTGTGTCTTATAGTGGAAAATGAAGCTTGGAAAGCCGGAGCAGGAGGCAGTGCCAGTCCGCTGCTGCTGTTGTGGGCTGGACTGGATTACAGAGCCTGAGATCTCTACTGACAGCACAGGCAGACAAAAAGGGACTGTGAGCGAAGACAAGGGAAAGAGTCTTTTACTGTGCTAGAGAAGCCAGGGCGAGTGCTAGAACACAGTTTCTTCAGATAAGCGATATTTTGGAAGCTATTCGTGCAGTGCATGTGTGTCATTAGATGAGTGCTGGCACGGGGCATCAGGTTAAAGGCATAGGTACTGGAAAAAACCCGTTTAGGACCATTACAGTAGAGGTGGATTTGCCTTTTTTTGGGTTGTTAGGAGGCAGAACATCTGCATGGAAGGAATATTTGTGAATGGTTGCTGCATACTTAAATGTTGGCATTCTGGCATGTGCCTTTTTGTTAATGTATTTATTTGAAAGCCTTTGTATTTTTGCCAATGGTTATAATTGTACATGTTTAGTTGTACATGTGTCACTTTGCATGGTGAAGCGGAGTATTTGGGGACTACATGTATGCTTCAGAATCCAGATGAGCAACATTACATGACAGCCTGTGTCCAAGGAGACAATGCAAAGTTGACTGTGACATATTGGGTGTTTGGTTTGTGTGGTGATGCAGAAAAGGTGTGATTCATCTGTGTTTGAAATGTCCACCAGCATTTATGATTACTCAGAGAAGGGGCTGCAGTTTGTTGATTCAGTTTTCCTCCATGTAGAATACCATTTCTGTGATGTAATGGATGAGAATTGATATTCTGGACACACAGAGAAGCCATATGTGTTTTAGGCTACGATGCCAGAGTGACTTTCAGTGGCTTTAGGCCTAGACTGTAGGCTATGCTTTGGAATGATCCAGAATAGGACTGCAAGCTGTTGAATGTTGCATCCTAATATCATAAAGCAGACACATGCCTTCAGTGTCAGACAGTGAAGGTATGGCCTTCTTACGCCATAGTTAAGTGCAGGATTGGATTATCAAAGGGCCCTGACGTTTGTCTTCATTTCTTAACAGCGTGTGTAAAACCTCAAGGACATCTCCCTCTTCTATTAGTCCTGTTTCATTCTGGAAAGAGAGAGCAATATAATCTTTTTTTCACATGCAGACTAGAGATGTTAGGTGCAAAGTGATGTTTTGAGAGAAATGAATGGTGACTTGAGAGGGACTGTCACCATGAATGTGTTAATGTGGACCAGAGTGAAGACTTATCGGTGGATGTCTATAAGTCAGAACTGCTTTGAATTCACTACTCTCCTCTTTGATAGATGACCTGCTGTCTGTGGGCAGCTTGATAGTGAAGATTTTGTCCAATGCATAATCAATGAAACTTATTATCTTTTGTCATTATGGATTTATGTGTCACTGATATGTATGTTTATAGAAGTTTAGTTATGTAAATTAATACAATTAGCAAATGAATACGAGTAGCCAGAGTGGGAGGATAGATTCTGTGACAGCTTACTGTTCTTAAGACAATTTGATTAGATTAAGGCTTTATTTCAAGAGCAATCAGTTTAATTATTGTTGTCTGACCAGTGTACTGGATGTTACTGATACTGTCACACTTTTTTTTGTTGTATACATTCTCTTTATGCCACTTAAAATTAGCAGTGACCATGCCAACAACAACAGCAAGTTCACGTTGAAATACTCAACACGCAAAATAGCAAAGTAAAAAAAAATCTGGTGCGCAATTAATTAAAGGAATTTTAATCATTAAAAACATAGTTTAAGTTACAAGCTTGGCAAAAGCTTCAGAGACACTAGTAAAAGAGCTCTTACAACACATAATCATCTCATCTCAGGGCTTAATGGCCTGGCAGTGTAAGAAAACACAGTATTCTCAGCAGAAGAGACTGTAGCCTCCCTAATAAAACACTCATCTTGCATTATGTGGAATGGCAAGAACCCTTTGTGTAGTTTGCTGCACCTTTTGGCAAATGGCTCATTGACTAAATGCACAGTTTGAACTTGCTGAGTGAACATGTTGCAAATGCTTGCTCTCTCTCTCTCTCTCTTTGTGTGTCTCTATCTTGCAGGAGGGAGAGTTTGCTGACCTTGGGTAAGAGGAGCAGGTTCCTGGAGAAGAAAGATGTGGCGTCACCTGCTCAACTCACCATGGCGGGACATGTTCACTGAGCAGACATTTGCTTTAACTTGAAAAGCTTTTCCTCTGGCGGAATTGACAGCTTGGTGATAACGTGTTTAATAGATCATTTTACACCTCTGTCGTAGGATTTGATGGACTGCCTTTGGGGATCTTTGCTTGGAACCTAGCTCGGTTCGGTGACTCGATGCAGCTTTGCATTACCTGTAAAAGGCTTCATCTGTCGGATATTCTACGGTTACCCTGGATCTAATACATTGATAACATTCACTTGGATATTGTGGAGATTCTCCTTGAGGGGTTTTTCACTTGAGTGGAGGTTGAGCAGTGCCAGTGTCTGGCCCTTGAAGAGTTTGATTGTCTGTAAGAGGAGTGTTTTGTTTGGAGGTTTCCTATGAAGGACATGGATGGCCCTCGATCTAGTGGTCTACGCAAGAAGAGGAAGTCACGATCAGAGCGGGATCGTGAGAGGAGATCAAATGGGATAAGGAACAACCATGTTAAGGGCTCTGTCTTTCGCTTCTCCTCTGACTCAGAGCAGGGCGACCGGGAGCCCTCCTCATCCCGCCCTCGACCCCCGCGAAGAAAGCGAAAGGAGTCTACTTCCGCTGAGGAGGACATCATCGATGGCTTCTCCATCACTGGGTTTGTGACCCTGGAGGCTCTGGAGGTAAGTGCTGAACCACAGGTGGTAGCCCCTTCAACTTTCTCCAGCGTGTGTGTGTTTGTGTGTGTGTGTGTGTGTGTGTGTGTGTGTGTGTGTGTGTGTGTGTGTGTGTTGCTTTTGCATGAAAATCCTGGTGAAAATCACTTAGCACTGTGCAGAAATGTGTTTATTATTGGGTGCAGCTCAGTGCCTCTCTGACTGGGCTGGTCCAGTGTTTTGGCTCCTGCTTGCATATTTGGCTGTTGTGTGTGAGCTGGAGTTCAACAGATGTAGCTTTAAATGTAGTGCTGCAGCCAGAGATTACTATCTGTGTCACTGAGAGGCTGTTGTTGTTGTGTGTACTGCTCTGGATTTGTTTTCACAAGAGTTTCCAGCAAAGCGTTACACCAGATGAGGGATGTTCAGCTATGGCTGTAGTGGCTGTTGTGCCTTTTGTACGCTTCACAGTGAAAAAGCAATTTGATCCATGTTACAACAGTTTATTCAGAGTGGGAGTAATTTATTGTGCGCTGGCTATTCATTTTGCTTGGAATGCAAACCGGGCACAGGCTGCCTTCCAAAGATATAGTTCTGAATTATGACTTCTACGAGCAAGCATTTTTTTACACACAGAACAACTGCTACATTTCTCTATAATGATAACTTACAGAAGGGTGACAGATTAAGGTGGTGGGCCATCACGATCCTCCAAAACAGCTTCACTGCTCCTTGGTGTAGATTTTTGGAACCGATCTTTCCTCATTTGGTGTTTTCAAAATGATGGTGGAACACGTTGCTCCAAAATCTCTTACAGCTGTTAATTTGGTGTCTGCCAGGGCCATAGCATTTGATTCAGATCTTTTCATACTCATGAAACCACTCAGGGACCTCCGCACCCTGTATGGAAGCGTTCATTATTTTTCCCGACTCCTCTTGGCTCTGGTGTTTCTTGTCATATTTTAGCTGTCTGATTGTGTCGGTTTTAGCTATTGTTAAAAAAATTACTTGTCCATTACTGTTTATTTTGCACCGTACATTTTATACATTATTTCTTTTAGCTTTTGCTCTAATCTTGTTTCACGTTGATGTTGATGTGAAAATAGTTTCCCAAGGTCAGAAGGGGAGTTGTCCGAGGAAAACCCAGTCTGACTCGCACTTCGTAATGTATGCAGTGTGAGTCCAATCTCTTGTTCACTGGTGTGATCCATGTCAAGGCTATGTACAGTATCACTTGTCCTTACTGTATCCCTTTGTTAGTCAGATCAACACTTTTCACAGCTCAAGAGTGTCTTAATGTTTTTTTTTACTATTATTTTTCATTAGGAATTACTCTATTCAGCAGCCAAGGACTGCGTGTCGTTTCATTGCTTCCTTGTTTTGATTGACCTTCCTTCTCTTGTTGTCTCTGTTGATGTTTTGTGCTTCTGTCTGTTAAAGCGCTGCAAACCACAGTTTGAGTCTAGTTAGATGGAAACTCAGAAATAAATGTGGGAAAGTTTAAAGTCAGTAGCGTCTGAATTTGCAAGGTCAACATACATTTAGTAAACAACGTAAAAAATTGCCTTGAACTGTAAAGTTTAGTTTCATTGTTCAACTCTGTTGTTTGCCCTTTTCATGAATATTTAGTTATTTCACTACATCTGATTGATTGATTGATTGATCAGCCACATACAAGCAAAGATACGTCATGTTACTTGGCTCAGATATTTTTCTGTGACATGTTCCTAGTTATATAATATAATATTACTTATCTGCCCCATTCCCAGATATTGTGTCAGTACATTAATGACTACTACTCAGATATTGTGGTCAAAATTTAAGGGCTCATTATCAAAACATGTATGATGTTCTATTAGAGCTGGAAAAAAATTCTGATGAATAATTTAGGTCGACTGTATCTGTTCTGCTTTTTGGTCAACCCTCATCTGCACAATCACCCTATCAGACTACAGCAACAGGTTTACATAGCTGACATGTGTAGGGCCAAACACCTCTTTGGAAACATAAAAATGAGTGACCATGAACAGAGTCAGATATCTACACAAGACAAGAAAATTATAGTGGAGAGGTCACACAACATGAGAGATTTGGAAATGGTTTGGGTTTGCAAAGCTCGATAAACAGCAGCAGCAATATCCGTAGCAAGATATACAGGCACTCTGTGCTGACGAAGTAGGGAAACACAAAGGTACCATCCCTCTGAGTATACAGACAGCCAAAGTATGTGGTCCCAAACTGCAGCACAAGCACCCAAGCTTGCAAATAAGCCTCCTGTGGTAGTTAGACAGTCACACCGCAGCAGCAGTGGCTTGTGTCTGCCTTTTCAGTCATTACTCCATATGATAAGAGCTCAAAAGGAGGCAGTAAGTGCAAGTTTATATGTAATAGCAAAAGACATAATGCCTGTTAAAGTGGTGGAAAAAACTGGTTTCAACTGTAATGACAGTGGTTGACTCCAGGTATAAAGCCCCTGGACAGAAACATTTTTCAGAAACAGCTGCCTCAGCTTTATGCAGGATGCAGGGGAAATGTAGAAGAGCAGCTTTACACACTTGCTTTACACCACTACTGACATATGGTCTAACCACACAGCAGAGCCTTACATGAGCATAATCAGTGTAAATATTATATCATGTGTCATGTTCAGAGTATCAACCAGTTTAGAGCCATAACAAACCCTGTGGTTTATTTCGGATTTAATCCAAAACTGAATATACCTCTTGAACTTCAGAATAAAAGGCACCCTGTAGAGTTTTCTTGTAAACAAACAAGTTATTTAAAGGTTGCTCACTAAAACATATTCTGTGTATCCTTAAGGACTAACAAACATGTGGAATGCAAGTCCTTCCCCTTTGTTTATGTTAAATCTAAATTGAGATCAATCGGAATATTGATCAGTGTGAAAAACTATATAAATAGTGATATTTTTGGCTATGTCACCCAGTCAAATTATAAACACTGAATGCATTTAACTGAAAATTGAAAACTGTACCCTTTTAGGCAGCCTGATTGTAACAGATTTACAGCTGAGTGTATATTAGTAGACATAATTTTAACATTTTATTACCGTCCACATTGTTTCAGTCTTATACTGCAGTAAACTGAGTGGAAAAACAGACTAATAAATCAAAATATATTGCAGTATCAGATTAAATTAATATCAAATCAGTCATTTAGGAGTCAAAACAGTCTTGTCACAAAGTGGTTTACTGTGTAATAAAAACAGAGAGAGTTCAAGTAAAGCAAGAGAAAAACAAATTATACTTGTGTTTGTGTGTGAGTGCATATGTTCACACACTGGTATTTGTTTTTGTAAGAATGTCACAGAGCTTATTAATGCAGTATCATCTCAGAGGGAAGTGAAAGGAGATGGTAATATTGAATTGTAATACTTCTTACGGGTGTTGTGGTTCTACCGTGGTCCAGTGCCCCTCATGCTGTCTTTAGGGAACGGGTTCCATAGCATTTTATCAAATCTGAATCCACTTACTGAATCTGAATCCTTTCTCTGTCATATTCATGAATGAGGAGAAACAACATTTGCTCTTCACTGTGGGACTGTGCTGCAGCTACAGACGCCGTACAAGCTAACATAAAAACAGCACAGTGAAAATAATATTAATTTTACTTCAGCGTTCAGTGAATATCAATTAAATTGAATCTCTGATGTTTCGCTGCACAATGCACTTACCGTTAACTGAAGGCAGAGTCACTGTTGCACTGCTACAAGTCACAGAATACAGTGCAACATCGGAGGTGGGCTGAGGCCGAGCATAGTTCTCCTCAAATCATCAGAAACAACTCAAGTTCCTATTTTACCTTGCAGGACAGTAAATAAATACTTAAACAAACGATTAGTCATTCCCCCCTCGCCCCCGGGTGCCCCTTGTTTATATCACCTAGTTATGTCGTTAATCTATTTTCTTCTTTGCTGATGCCGCTAGTGTTGGAGAGAGAGGCCAAAGAGTTGAAAAAGAGAACGTAAATGAGAGAACCAGTGATTAGAACCCATCGCTACTCCCTACAGAGGTTTTGTCCAGATTTATGTGGTCTGAACTCTGCTGTATATTTCAGTATGGCTTCTTTTATCATGTCTGTGACTATGTAGGATTCTTTGTATTTGTGTACTGTTTGTTGTTGTTGTTGTTATTATTATTATTATTATTATTATTATTATCAGTCCGCTGATTATTTATGGTTTGGTCTATGACATGTCAGAAAATAGTAAAAAATGCACATCACAAAGTCCCCAGAGTCCAACGTGACATCTTCAGATGTTTTTCTTTAAAAAGATACTAAAGATACTTTGCTTACAATGATTTTAAACTGAGATGAGCAACAAATCTTCACACTGTAGAGAAGGACATGAGAGTATATTTGTCATTTTTGCTTGAAAAATTACCTGAATGATTAATTGATTGCGAGGATGTAATGTGGTTGGGTTGAAATGGATGTATCCTTCTCACTTTTCAGAATCCTTGTTGTCGCTTTTCAGTTTGATTTATTCACTGAAAGAAAACTAAATCATGTCCTAGCCAACAGAATCCAGATGGGAGCAGCTCTGGGTTCATCAAAATGTTAAAAAACTCCTTTGAGTCACCTTCTGTTATTACTGTGTTCACAGCAGTATATATTCAATACATTTGTAATTAGAATTCTATAAATAATGATTAATTGGGCTGTAGCCCACCAGAGCTGAGCTCCGCCTCCTGACCCTGTCAGAGCTCAGTGTCACAGGATTGGCTTGAAACATCATCTTTCAGACACAGTCTCATACTGATCAAACAAGAGAAGAATGGCTGCTCCTTTTCTTTGACTTGCACAGCAGCAGGATCGATACGTGTATTTCCAAACTGAGAGAGGGGCAGTGTGCAGTTCACGCACGTGGCACAGCAGCAGCAACTTCATTAATTATTTAGATCCTCTGACGTGGCGTTGTGATCTTACATTAGTCGTATTAACTTAAATGCTTTCCTGCACAGTAAACAGGTGAGCTGATGCACACAGATTTCGTTTTATAGTGA